CACCAGATAGAGACCCAGCAGAAAAAACAATCAGCAGAAGCACACCAGCAAAAGTTTTCTGTTTGAGGATTACCAGACACAGAATACAAAATAATCGTCTTGGACAAATAATCCAGTTAAAAAGTAGGCAAACGATATGAACAGACGCTTCACCAAAGACATTCAGGCATCTAACAGACACATGAGGAAATGCTCAAGATCACTAGCCATTAGATAAATGCAACTCAAAACTATAATGAGACACTATCTCACCCCAACATTACCAGCATTAATTTAAAAAAAAAAAAAACAGAAAATAACAAAGGTTGGAGAGGCTGCAGGGAGATTGGAGCTCTTATGCACTGCTGATGGGAATGTAAAATGTACACCCATTTTGGAAAATGATATGGCACTTCCTTAAAACGCTAGAAATAGAAATATCATACGATCCAGCAATCCCACTCTTAGGAATATATCCTAGAGAAATAAGAGCTGTCACACGAATAGACGTATGCACACTGATGTTCATTGCAGCATTGCTCACACTAGCAGGAAGATGGAAACAACCTAAGTGCACATCAACAGATGAATGGATAAACAAACTATGGTACATACACACAAGGGAATACTGCACAATGATAAAACAATGATGAATCTACGAAACATCTCACAACATGGATGAATCTGGAGGCCATTATGCTGAGTGAAATAAGTCAATCGCAAAAGGATAGATATTGTATGAGACCATTATTATAAAAACTCATGGAAAGGTTAACGCACAAAACAATCTTTGATGGTTACAAGGGAGAAGAGGGATGGGGTGGAAAAACACTAAATACACAATAGATAAGTGGTAACTTTGGTGAAGGGTAAGACAGTACACAGTACTGGGGAAGCCAGCACAACTTGACCAAGGCAAGGTAATGGAAGCTTAATAGGCACATCCAAACTCCCTGAGGGACCAAATTACTGGGCTGAGGGCTGTGAGGACCGTGGTCTCAGGGGACGTCTAGCTAACTGGCATAACATAAGGATAAAGAAATTGTTCTATATCCTACTTTGGTAAGTAGTGAGCGTCTGAGGTCTTAAAAGCTTGTGACTGGCTATCTAAAATACTCCATTGGTCTCACCCCATCTGGAGCAAGGGAGAATGAAGAAAACCAAAGACACAAAGGAAAGAATAGTCCAAAGGACTAATGGACCACAAGTACCACAGCATCCACCAGACTGAGACCAGCCCAACTAGGTGGCGCCAGCTACCACCACTGACTTTTCTGACAGGATCACAAAAGAGGGTCCCAGACAGAGCTGGAGAAAAATGTAGAACAAAATTGTAACTCACAAAAGAGGACCAGACTTACTGACAGAGACTGGAGAAATGCCAAAAGTATGGTCCCCAGACACACTTTTAACTCAGTACTGAATTCACTCCTGAGATTCACCCTTCAGCCAAAGATTAGACAGGCCCATAAAACAAAACAAGACTGAATGGGTGCACCAATCCAGGGGCAAGGGCCAGAAGGCTGGACGGGACAGGAAAGATTAAAACGAGGAACACAAGGTCAAGAAGGGGAGAGTTTTGACACATCATGGGTTTGGCAACCAATGTCACAAAACAATATGTGTATTAACTGTTTAATGAGAAACTAATTTGCTCTGTAAACCTTCATCTAAAGCACAATAAAAAAATGGTCATCAATACATTTAAGGAAATTAAGTGGTGCTTTTAAAATATGAGCAATGAACAGAGATTTTAGAACAATGAAGCAGAGTTGAAAGGGAACCAACAATCTCAAGAAATAAAAAACATAATATATTTTTTTAATAAAATCTCATTAAACCAAAAAAAACAAAAACCAAACCCATTGCCATCAAGTCTATTCCAACTCATAGCAACCCTATAGGTCCGAATAAAACTGCCCTGTACGGTTTCCAAGGAGCACCTGGTGGATTCAAACTGCTGACCTTTTGGTTAGCTGCTGTTGCTCTTAACCACTACACAAAAACTCATTAAATATATTAAATCTGAGCTTAGACACAGCTAAAGAAAGAATTTGTGACTTGGAAGAGAGATTAAAAAATAATCTTCATTATGTAGAGCAGAGAGAAAAGGAGATGGAAAATATGAAGAAGATACATAAAAGACTGAGTGAGAAAATCTAACAAAGGTCTAACCAGAGCTTCCAAAGGAGTTAATATAGAGGATAGGCAGAAGGCACCATTCAAAGAAATAGTGACCAGGAGAGTTAAAGGACACTAATCCTTAGATCCAGGAAGTCCTTTTTTTTTTTTTTTTTTAAATTGGCATCTAAAATCTTTAGAACACAACACCAGAGAAAGAGAAGATTTGTAAAAGCATCTATGGAGAAAAGATGGATAACCAACAGAAGAGTGACAATAAGATTTCTCAACTGTGATAATGAATAATAGCTTCAAAGTCCTGAAAGAAAATAACTGTTAGCCTAGATTTATATACCCAGAAAACTGATCTTTCAAGAATAAGTACAAAATCAAGTCACTTAGACAGAGACTTCATAATCAATGTTGCTGTTCTTAGTTTCTACTCCTGGTGACCCCAGGCGTGCAGAGGAGTAGAACTGCGCTCCATAAAGTTTTCAAAGCTGTGATCTTTTGGAAGCAGATCACCAGGTCTTACATCCGAGGCACCTCTGGGTGGGTTTGAACTGCCAATCCTTCAATTAGTAGCCTAGTGCTTAACAATTTGAGCCACTCAGGGATTCCTTATAATCAATAATCCCCCTCCAAAAACAATAAATGACAAACCCCCATTGCTGTAGAGTCTATTCCAACTCATAATGACCCTATAGGATAGAGTACAACTGCCCCATAGGGCTTCCAAGGCTGCAATCTTTACAGAAGCGGACTGCCGCATCTTTCTCCCGTGTAGCAGCTGGTGAGTTTGAACCACTGACCTTTTGGTTAGCAGCTGAGTGCTTCACCACTGCACCACCAGGGCTCTCTTATAATCAATAGATCCTCACTAATATAAATGATATAGGATACATTTCAAGCAGAAGAAAGGTGGAAAGTATGTGACGTAAGAAGGAACAGAGAGTAAAACTATTGGTAAATAAGTGATAAATCTAAACAAAAATTAACTGTATTCAACAAAATATAATGTCTAATTTGAAGAGTTAACAAAATAAGGGCAAAACTAAAATACTGAAAAAAGCAAATATACCGAGAGGAAGCAATAAGCATGAAAATATCTCATCACAAAGAAAATAAAGATATTTACTAAGTTTAGAGTTTGCTAAGTATGCAGTATGCATATTAAAAATAGCTAGGAGGACCACTGAAGGAAGAAATACAGAATTCATAACTTCAAAACCAGAAGGGGTGGGGGAATAGGATGAGAAAAGAAACAAATCTCAATTTATCCAAAAAAAAGGCAAGAAATAAAGGTGAAGGTGGGAATGACAGAAAAAAGTGGGTAAATAGAAAGCACTGTATAAGATGATACGCATAAATCTAGATAGACTAGTACTCACATTATAAATGTTCAAGTTATAAGACAAGGACTGTTAGAATGTATTAAAAATAAAAACATACTCCGCTACATGCTAATTACAAGAGAGCCACCAAAAACATAAGGGCAGAGAAGATTTGAAAGTAATGATGGCAAAAGATATATTTAGGATTATTGTATTTGAAGAAAGCCAAGAGAGCTATTATCTTTAAGGCAAACGGCATCATCGGTGATAAAGTTGATAACTTCAAAAAGTAACAAGTTCTATTCATAAGAAAGATAAAACAATATCCTTCCATTTTTCCAAAAAGGGCCACTCCCAAAGCAAAATTTCCAGGATAAAGATTATTGGATTTCCAGTAAATTAACTGAATCAATTACTTGGGTTTATATTGGCACATATGCTACTGACTTTTTTTTGGTAAAGAAATCGACTGCTTTTACCAGAATTTTTTTTTTAATTCAACAATTTTTACATACATTATTCAGTGACATTGATTACATTCTTCATGTTGTTCAACCATTATCACTATCCTTTTCCTAATTAATCCACCACCATCAGCATAAACTCAGTGCTCCCTATGCAATAACTCCCCCTTTTCCCCTTCCTCCCACCTTTGGTAACCACTAATAAGCTTTGGTTTCTGTCTATTTGCTTGCTTATTTCATATAAGTGGGATAATACAGTATTTGTCCTTTCATGACTGACTGATTTCACTCAGCATAATATTTTCAAGGTTCATCCATGTTGTAGAATGTACCAGGCCTTCATTTCTCTTAACGGCTGAGTAGTATTCCACTGTATGTATATACCACATTTTGTTTATCCATTCATCTGTTGATGGGCATTTAGGTTGTTTCCACCTTTTGACTATTGTGAATAGTGCTGCAGTGAACATTGAAGTACAAGTATAGGTTTGTGTTTCTACTTTTAATTCTTTTGGATATATACCTAGGATTGGGATTGCTGGGTCATATGGTAGTTCTGTGAAGAACTGCTAAACTGTTTTCCATGGTGGCTGTGCCATTTTGTATCCCCACTAGCAGTGGATGAGTGTTCCGATTTCTCCACGTCTTCCCCAACACCTGTTATTTTCCTTTTTTTTTTTTCACCATAGCCATTCTAGTGGGGGTGAGGTAATATCTCATTGTGGTTTTGATTTGCATCTCCCTAATGGCTAACGGAGCCCTGGTGGCACAGTGGTTAAGAGCTCAGCTGCTAACCAAAATGTCGGAGGTTGGAATCCACCAGCTGCTCCTGGAAACCCTATGGGGCAGTTCTACTCTGCCCTATAGCATTGCTATGAGTCAGAATTCACTTGAGGGCAACCTGTTTTGGGTTTTCTAATGGCTAATGAGCCCTGGTGACACAGTGGTTAAGAGCTTGGCTGCCAACCAAAAGGTCAGCGTTCGAATCCACAAGCCGCTCCTTGGAAACCCTATGGGGCAGTTCTACTCTGTCCTATAGGGTCACTATGCGTTGGAATTGACTCAACAGCAATGGGTTTGGGTTTATGGTTAATGGCTAATAGTGCTCCCTATAGCAGCACATATACTAAAACTGGAGCAATTCAAAGAAGATTAGCATGGCCCCTGCATAAGGATGACACACAGACTCATCAGGCATTCCATATTTTTAAGGAGCCCCGGTGATGCAAACAGTTAAGTGCTCAGTGGCTAAATAAAAGCGTTGCAGTCCAAACTCACCCAGTGGCTCTGTGGGAGAACGATCTGGTGATGTGCTTCCGTAAAGATTACGGCCAAGAAAACCTTAATGGGGCATTTCTGCTCTGTCACATGAGGTCAATATGAGTAGAAATCATTAACAACAACAATAACGACTAATGACACTGAGCATCTTTTCATGTGTTTCTTGGCCATTTGCATATCCTCTTTGGTGAAACATCTGTTCAAGTCCTCTGCCCATTTTTTTTATTTTTTATTTTTTTATTGTTATAGTTTAAGTGAAAGTTTACAGTTCAAGTTAGTCTCTCACAACTGCCCATTTTTTTATTGGATTGTTTGAATTTTTGTTGTTAAGTTGTAGAAGTTTATATACATATATATGTATGTATGTATATGTGTACATACACATATATGTTGTTGTTAGGTGCCGTCGAGTCAGTTCTGACTCATAGCGAGACCCTGTGTCTAACTGAACAAGACACTGCCTGGTCCTGCGCCATCCCCACAATCATTGGTATGCTTGAGCTCATTGTTGTAGCCACTGTGTCAATCCGTCTCGTTGAGGGTCTTCCTCTTTTTCGCTGACCCTCTACTTTACCAAGCATCATGTCCTTCTTCAGAGACTGAACCCTCCTGATAACATGTCCAAAGTATGTGAGACATAGTGTCACCATCCTTGCTTCTAAGGAATATTCTGGCTGTACTTCTTCCAAGACAGATTTGTTCATTCTTTTAATAGTCCATGGTATATTAAACATTCTTCACCAACATCACAATTCAAAGACGTCAATTCTTCTTCGGTCTTCCTTACTCATCATCCAGCTTTCACATCCATACGAGGTGATTGAAAACACCATAGCTTGGGTCAGGCACACCTTAGTCTTCAAGGTGACATCTTTGCTTTTCAACACTTTAAAGAGGTCTTTTGCAGCAGATTTGCCCGATGCAATGTGTCTTTTGATTTCTTGACTGCTGCTTCCATGGGTGTTGATTGTGGATCCAAGTAAAATGAAATCCTTGACAACTTCAATCTTTTCTCTGTTTATCATGATGTTGCTTATTGGTCCAGTTGTGAGGATTTTGCTTTTCTTTATGTTCAGGTGTAATCCATACTGAAGGCTATGTTGATCTTCATCAGTAAGTGCTTCAAGTCCTCTTCACTTTCAGCAAGCAAGGTTGCGTCCTCAGCATAACACAGGTTGCTAATGAGCCTTCCTCCAATCTTGATGCCCCGTACTTCTTCCTACAGTCCAGCTTCTCAGATTATTTGCTCAGCATACAGATTGAATAAGTATGATGACAGAACACAACCCTGACACACACCTTTTCTGACTTTAAACCACGCAGTATCCCCTTGTTCTGGGAATAGGCATAAGTATGGATCTCTTCTGTTCTGTTCGAACAACTGCCTCTGATCAGGTTCCTCACGAGCACAATTAAGTGTTCTGGAATTCCCATTCTTCGAAATGTTATCCATAATTTGTTATGATCCACACAGTCAAATGCCTTTGAGTAGTCAATAAAACATCAGCAATGATATCCCTCATTCCACGTCCTCTTCTGAATCCAGCTTGAATTTCTGGCAGTTCCCTGTCAATATACTGCTGCAGCCACTTTTGAATGCTGTTCAGCAAAATTTTACTTGCATGTGATATTAATGATATTGTTCAATAATTTCCACATTCAGTTGGATCACTTTTCTTGGGAATATGCATAAATATGGATCTCTTCCAATTGGTTGGTCAGGTAGCTGTCTTCCAAATTTCTTGGCATAGATGAATGAGTGCTTCCAGTACTGCCACCATTTGTTGAAACATCTCAAATGATATTCTATCAATTCCCGGAGCCTTGTTTTTTGCCAATGCCTTCAGTGCAGCTTGGACTTCTTCCTTCAGTACCATCAGTTCCTGATCATATGCTAACTCCTGAAATGGCTGAATGTCGACCAATTCTTTTTGGTATAATAACTCTGTGTATTCCTTCCTTCTTCTTTTGATGCTTCCTGAGTGGTTTAATAATTTCCCCATAGAATTCTTTACTATTGCAACTGGAGGCTTGAATTTTTTCTTCAGTTCTTTCAGCTTGAGAAATTCCAAGCCTGTTCTTCCCTTTTGGTTTTCTATCTCCAAGTCTTTGCACATGTCATTATAATACTTTACTTTGTATTCTTGAGCTGCCCTTTGAAATCTTCTGTTCTGCTCTTTTACCTTCATCATTTCTTCCTTTTGCTTTAGCTACTTGACATTCAAGAGCAAGTTTCAGAGTTTCTTCTGACATCCATTTTGGTCTTTTCTTTCTTTCCTATCTTTTTAATGACCTCTTTCAGAACAGACCATCAATTGCCCATATGCAAGTTCAAGTTGAAGCTGAAGAAAATTAGAACAAGTCCATGAAAGCCGAAGTATGACCTTGAGTATATCCCACCTGAATTTAGAGACCATCTCAAGAAGAGATTTGAAGCAGTGAATACTAATGACCGTACACCAGATGAGTTGTGAAATGACATCAAGGACATCATACATATAGAAAGCAAGAGGTCATACACACATATATACATATATATGTAGGATATTAAACCCTTATCAGATATATGATTTCCAAAATTTTCTCCCAATCTATAAGTTATTGCTTGTCTTTGTTGATAATGTCCTGTGATGACCAAAAATATTCAATTTTTATGAGGTTCCATTTATCTATTTTGTCTTCTGCTGCTTGTGCTTTTGCTGTCATACCTGATAGTGCATTATTAAAAACCAGGTCTCATAGCCATACCCCTATGTTTTCTTCTACAAATTTTATGGTTTTAGTTCTTACACTTAGGTCTTTGATCCATTTTTAATTTTTTTTTTTTCATCTTTTTTTTTTTAATTGTACTTCAGGTGAAGGCTTACAGAACAAATAGTTTCTCATGAAACAGAAGTACACATGTGGTTTTATAACATTGGTTAACAACCCCACAACATATCAACCCTCTAACTTCTCAACCTTTTTTTTTTTGGTGAAAATACACATAGCCAAAGATACACCATTTCAAAAATTTCTACATGCACAGTTCAGTGACATTGACTACGCTCTTCCAATTGTGCTGTTATTCTCACTTAAGATGAAGGCTTACAGAACAAAATAGTTTCTCATTTAACAGTTACTACAGATGTTGCCCTATGACAATGGTTAACAATCTCACAACACATCAACAATATCCTTACTCAACATTGGGTTCCCTATCACCAGCTTCCTTGTCCCCTTCTGCCTTCTGGCCCTTGTCACTGGACTCCTGTGCCTCGTTAGTCTCATTTGGTTTTACGGGGCTGTCCACTCCCAGGCTGAACAGTGAACCTCGGAGATAACTTCACCACTGAGCTAAAAGGGTGTCTGGGGGCCATACTCTCAGGGTTTCTCCAGTCTCCTTTAGGCCAGTAAATTTGGTCTTTTTTTTTTGTGAGTTAGAATTATGCTCTGCATCCTTTTCCAGCTCTGTCCAGAACCCTCTGTTGTGATCCTGATCAGAGCAGTCAGTGGTGGTAGCCGGGCACCATCTAGCTGTACTGGACTCAGTCCGGTGGAGGCCTTGGTAGCTGTGGACAATTAGTCCTTTGGACTAATCTTTTCCTTGTATCCTGTGGTCTTCATTCTCCCTTGCTCCTGAAGGAATGAGACCAGTGAAGTATCTTAGATGGCCGCTCACAGGCTTTTAAGACCCCAGACACTACTCACCAAGGTAGAATGTAGAGCATTGTCCTTATAAGCTGTGTCATGCCAGTTGAGCTAGATGTTCCCCGAGACCATGGTCCCCAGAGCTCTCCGCCCAGCAATTCAGTCCCTCAGGGAGTTTGGATGTGTCTGTGGGGCTTCCATGACCTTTCCTAGTACAAGTTGTGCTAGTTTCTCCTGTATTGTGTACTGTCTCACCCTTCACCCAAGATACCACTTATCTATTATCTATTTAGTGTCCGTCCCCCCCCCATCCCTGGTAACCAACAAAGATTGTTACATTTTGTGTGTGAACTTTTTCATGGGTTTTTACAATAGAGGTCTCATACAATATTTGTCCTTTTGTGATAATTGTTTTTTGTATATGGTGTGAGGTATGAATCCTGTTTTCATTCTTTTTGTATGTAGAATCCAATTTTCCCAGCACCATTTATTCAAGAGACTCTTCGTTCCTCATTTAATGGACTTAGTAAGTACCCTTGATGAAAGTCAGTAGACGCTTACCAGAAAATTTTATATAATCTGAATACAAAAGGAAAATGCCTTTTTAGCGGACAAAATAAGCTTGACCTGATTTCCTCTACTAACTTTCTATCTTTGAGAAGCTAAAATCTGCTTTTGGACCAAAAATATTTTCCCATTACAGCTACTGTGTAATTGTGATACAACAGAATTAGAACTTCAAGCTGTTACTATGTTCAGTCCGACCAAAATAAAAAAGCATTGTGTAGATATAAAATGTTATTAACGATTCTATGGATTTTTACAAGAATATATGAGAAAAACAGACACAGTCAAATTCACTAAGGGCCAAGAGAACAATTAGATCCAGAGAAATCAGTGCAGTATGATTTCCTTTTGTATGGCTTTTTCCATACACACTGCATTACAGAGGGTTTTACCAAATTAAAATTGCCAAAATAGATGAAAGTATGTGGTGCAAATTACCAAAAACCACTGGTGTAATGGAAAGACATTTCATGATAACTAAATTAAACCATTCAATCATGAGGCTGGTAATGAAGACAGAAAGGCAGAGTGGCGAAGGCAGATGGTCAAAAGTCAGTTTGATGAGAACTGAAATGAGAGATGCGGCCAGCTGGCTCTGGCTGGAGCAGGATCATTTACACGTGCACACGGGGCTTCCAGAAGAGCTCCAGCATCATTCATGGAAGACTTTCCAAAAGAGCCCAGATTTGCAAAGTGGGTTTATTTGCAACTGAGGCAATTTCTTAAACATA